ACAGACACCAAGTCAACCCACAATGAGGAAACGGGTAGGGCGGTGGAGAGGGGGGGAGGAGGGAGGGGAGGGGAGGGTGGTGGAGAGAAGGGAGGGAGGGTGGTGGAGAGGGGGGAGGATGGTGGAGAGGAGGGAGGAGGGGAAGTGGAGGGGGAGGAGGGAGGGGGGAGGGAGGGAGGAGGGAGGGAGGGAGGGAGGGAGGGAGGGAGGGAGGGAGGGAGGGCGGAGGAGGAGGAGGAGGAGGAGGAGGAGGAGGAGGAGGAGGAGGAGGAGGAGGCAGGAGGAGGAGGAGGAGGAGGCCCGAGGAGGCGGGAAGAGGAGGGCAGGGAAGACAGAAAGAGGATAGTAGAGGCAGGATGCGGCAACGAATGCTGAGGAGGAGGAGGAGGAGGATTCTGCGACAAGGCTGCTCCATCATATTCAACCCCCTGGACCGGGCGTTCTGGGCACACTGGCGACAAAATATCAACCGAGGCCGAACAACCAGTTAATGATGGCCCCAGAGGTTGCGAGGGTAGGGCACGCCCCAGCAAACGCAGCGGCTGGTCAGGTCCCATTTCTCCCTTCTCCCAGCCCCCATCACTCCTCCCTCCTCTCTTGCATGGCGTTCCGAAGCCGAAATGTAGCCAAGAGGTGCGTAAAACGCTAGAACGAACTGGCCTCTGGCCTGGGCCTCCCAAGACGAGCCCATAGGACCGCCCATGAAATGTGGTTCCCGTGCGCAAGGAGAAGTGAAGAACGAGATGCGAGCCAAGAAGAATGGCGCAATGGTGGCTCGCACCAGAGGCCAGGAGGGGGGGAGGAGTGGCGAGCAAGGGGGAGGAGCAGGGGTGGTTTCAAATATGATATAGCTCCGCCATCCCCCCCCCGTGTGCCAGGAAAAGGGGACCTCAAAGACCTGCCACCTTTTTCTTCTGCGTGGTCCACCCGGCGGAACGGCGAGCTCAGACTGCGAGCGAGGAGCCGCCACACTGACGAGACTAGAACGATGAAACGAGACCGACGGTTTCGCACGGCCCGAGCCCAAAAGGTGGAGCTGGCCCCAAGGCCGAACTAACAATCACAGGATTCAAACCCACTCTATACTTTAGCCTGCAGGGGAAAATCGGCAGACTTGACCCCCAATGCCCAGGAATGCTTATTGAGGCTATGGTTGTTTTCAGCCACAAGGCGGAGGGTGCGCGCCAGCGTTCTGGAAAGCAACTTGGGATACGAGGCGGCAATGGCTGTCCTCTTTCGTCCGGTGGCAGGGTCCACACCTTCGAGTATCAGATGAGGCTTGCTGGTGACCGAGCACAGGCCCTTCTGCCCAGTGCACCGTTGATGAATACACGAATGGAACCCAGCTCCCCACATCGCAATTCTGGTCCTCTTTCGCCAAGGAGCCCCAAAGCGACACATATCCTGTAGATGAACATGGCACTCAGGATGATCAAGGAGAGGGCCCAGTAGGGGGGCATGCCACATGACGGAGGACGCGGGGTTCTCGAGGTACACCGGGATCCCAAGACGGACGCAGGTCTTGATGACGTTCACGGAGAGCTCGAACGTGTCGTTTCCCACCTGAAGCCTAGCGAGCTCTGGCTCGTTGAGGTCTGCAAGGCCCATCGGGGCCTGGATGGACCTGAGAGGCTTTCGCAGAGCCCGAGACCAAGTAGTGCACGGAGTGCCCAACCAGACGCCCACGATCACCCTGCCCTGGAGCCACCCACGAATAGTACTCCAGAAAGCCGGACTGAGATGGTTCTCCAAGGGCCCGTTGTTTATGTCAAGAGACACACATGCGTACCCTGCAGCCGTGAGGGCCCTGCCAAGCTGGCCTGATCCTGCGAACAGCTCCAAGAAGGCGAAGCGACGGAGGCGGACCGCCTGGCGCAGCTCGGAGGCCAGGGCGCCCTGGAGGTATTGGACTACCTCCTGGCACCGTGGGGCGCCTCCATGCGCGCCGGCGGCGGCACGGGCAGCCCGCGCGTCAGCGCCGCCACAGCGAGGGGCGGCGCGCCCGCGGGCAGGCCGCTGCCACTGCGCAGCAGCTCCGACAGGGAGTTCAGCACGAGGTTGCCGTAGACGAACACCTCGGGCGCCACTGGGCCGAGGGTGTCGAGCAGCCTCGCGGCCTTGGCGCATCTCTTCGCGGACGCGAAGGTAGCCCACCTCCCGCGGAGGCGAACCTGCTCGGCCGAGCGGCGGCCCAGAGTCAGGTCCTCCGAAGCCCCGCCGCGCCGCAGCTGGTAGGGGCGCGGCTCGAGCGGGCCCAGCCCCATGAGCGCGGCGCCCTCGATGAACGCCCGTCGGTACTCCACGAAGCTCAGGTCCACGATGAGGTCGTCGGTCTTCATTCAGCGTCGCCCGCGCGCAGGCCAGCGCAGGGTACAGCCACGCGTCCATGTCGATGACCACGGCGTCGTCGTACACTCCAGTCTTCCCCGCCTGCAGGAGGGCGGAGTCGTGCAGAAGGATGGGCCAGTACTGGTACGCGGGCCCTGCCATCACTGCGGGGGCAATGAGGTGACGAGCTCGTACTTGCATCATCTCCTGCGGCCCCAGGTAGCACACGTGGGCGACGGCGGTTAGCAGGGCAGCCCGCAGGAGGCCGCGGTGGATCAGGTAGCCGACGATCGCGCCCATGGCCGCCCGCGGCATGGGCAACCGCGCGAACGGTGGGGCACGGCGCCTCCAGCCCAGCACCGCTCGAGAGGCTCGAGGGAGCAGCGTGGCCCCCGAGCGCCCCAGCCCCGGCAGGAAGTGCGCCAAGGCCGCCAGCGTGCCGCTGCCGACGTAGGGCCCCAGCCCCTCCAGGTACAGGCCGTTGAAGAAATCGACCAGGAGGCCGTCGAGGGTGGGCCAGTCGTGCCAGTCCAGCGCCAGCCCTAGGCAGTAGTGCTGGAACCCCTTCACCAGCGACCTGTAGAGGATCTCCGTGGAGGGACGGATGGCAAGCCGCTCCAGAGAGGAGAGCCCCCCGAGCGGGGGCCGCCCCCGCACCGCTGCCGAGGCCGCCGAGGCGCGGAAGGCCTTTAGGAAGGTAGACCTGCTCCCCGATCGGCTCGCCGCCTGCAGTCGCCCAGGTTCCGGGCGGGCGCGGGGCATCCGCTGCGGCTGGCGCTTGTAGCGAGCCGGGCCGGGGGGGCCCAGGCGGGGCCCCCAAGCGGGGGGCCCTGTGAGCCGATATGCACGACGAAGGATAGCGTCTGATAGCTCGGGGCCCAGTAAACCAGCCAAACCTCCCCCTGGAAGGGGCATCACTCACGTCTCTCTCAGTGGGCACCCATCTGACAACAAAACGACATCCAGTGACCAGCGACAGACAAGCGAGCTTCGTCAGGCAAGGCTTGAGGAACTTCGATCTGGCACGACCCTTGGTGGCACCCATGGCTAACGGAAGATTGTCGACGATGAACAGAAGACGACGACCAAGGGCGCTCTCGCTGCGTAAGGCGTGGCGCATGGCGAGGACGAGGGCCTCCCCCTCCAGAGCTAAGATGTTGGTGCCGACAGACACCTGGCAGGCAGCGATGTGGGCCCAACTGTCGGGGTCCATGAGCTCCTCAAGGACCTCGTCGAAACGTCGGGCCACTTCCTCCAGGTAAACGGGGCCCCTATCACAGGCAGCGCGGCCACCTCGGGGGGAACGGAGACCAGGGGCGGCAGACGAGACGGCGAGGGCGGCCTCCCGGGGGCGACAATGCTCTTCGACCTTGTATCTCCATCGCTCGCACAATCTCCCAACTGCGCCAGCATGAGGACAGACGCGCCGGACAGAGGCTCCTAGGCCAAATGGGGGGGCATCTGAGGCGTGCACCTGGTCGTGCCACCCGGCCCCCCACTCAACTGTAAAGAGCGGGAGGACACATCGTAAGCTCCACAGCTCTTTGCGAACGCAAGGCCAGAGGTCGACAACGTCACCCTTGTTTTTCTCGATATAGGCATAGACGTCATCTAAAAAACTGAGAGCCCCCCTCCGAAGTAACGCGGCCCAAGTAATATGTCCGACCACCACCTGCAGCAGAGATCCGCTGGCGCGCCCGCGTCTGAGGATCTCTTCTAAGGCCAGCCGTAGTCTCCAAAGACCTCGTCGACGGATAGAGGGCCTCTGGCCCGAATTAAGCTTCAACCCCAGGAAGGAAGCGTCTTTCGAGGCGGGTTCCAGCTCGTGGACGACGAGGCCCTTGGCTTCGAGGGTGGAGCGAATTCGGGACACGGTCGAATCCACGGCGTCGGGGCTCTGGCCGAAAACAACGAGGTTGCCGACGTAACCTGCGACTCGCACACCCGTGAAATCGTCGATCGGAAAGGCCGGGTTGCCGTCCACGACAAGGTCCGACCCATCGATGCCGGCGTCGCCCAGGGCGTTCAGCAGTGCGGACTGGGCGATGTGCATGGCCCAACTCCACCCCGTGGGAAGGATTGTGAGTACGGGTTCGAGGAAGGTCCCTGGTCCCATCTTGTGGCCTCCAACCTCTGCAAGCCCAGCAACTCCGGCATCGATAGGGGGGGGGGCAACAAAAATCCTGAAGCTCTGCCGGCAGGCCCATGCGATAAAAACATTTGTCAATGTCACCTGATCCTACAAAAACGTCGGACCCCTGGGACTCAACAGATCCAAGGGCCGTTGCGGTGGGAAGACGGGTGGCAGGAGGGGTCTTTTAAAAAAACAACTGGCAACACGGGTATCGAATATAAGCCTGAGCTTACCCGACTTTTTCGCAACGAAGAAAACACCAACCTTGCTGGGGCGGCCAGTGGCGAGCTTCAAAGTGGCAATCCCTCGGCCCACCAGCTTACGAACGAACGCAGCGTACCGAGCAGGAGGCGAGCTTAGAAGCGGATCCACATACGGCCCCAACGGACAAGCTTCTCGAATCAAACTTCGAGCCTCTTCAGAGGGCCTTAGCAAGTTCTCGCGGGCACGACCGATCCATTCACAATCGCCAGCGCTGAGGAGATCGCCCAGCGGAACCCGGCGAGTCCCCTCATCAGGCCAGGAGACAAGCTCCTGGGAAAACGGTCGCCTAGTGGTCCCAGCAGGGTCGTACAGACCACTAGCGGCGCAGAGCTCACTCAGGGCTCCCGCGCCAGAAAGGAGGTCAGATGGCTGGGGGCCAACCTCTCGAAACTGCTTACCCAAGCGATCGAGGACGTTCCTCTGGCAAGAAGTCGGGTTCGCAGAACGGCGGGCCGGCCCAAAGCCGTAAGCGCTGTTGAGGGAAGAAATGGCATCGTTGGCCCAGTCGACAGAATGCTTAGCCTTGCGACGGCGTCGAATGACGCCCCTACTCGCATCGGAGGCACCGCGGCCTGGCCCACAGGGAGGGGAGAGGAGAGGAAGGGGAAAGATGTCTCTGGCACGAACAGAGGCAGCGCCATCAGGTGTCATACCCGACCGTGGCACATCGGTCGGAGAGGGCTCATGCATCTGGTCGCCGCCCACCGGTGCCCTTGTGCCGGTGTCGGCGGGGGCATTCACCCCTGCTCTTTGTCCCCTGTCTTCTTGGGTGGCGCGGCTGGCGGTTGGCATTGCGCTCTTCCCGCGCCTTCCGCCGTTCTTTCATCACCGAGACCTCCTTGGCGAGTTCCTGTGCGATCCAATCTTGTAGCTCTGGGGCCACGCAAACGTTGCCCCTCACGAGGTCAGAACCCAAAAAGAGGTGAGAATCAACTTTGTCCTCGGACCCGATGATGCGATCCCTGTGTCGTTCCTCCTGCACCTGAAGAGACCGCCCCAACATCTCGAAGGACGCGATCTCCGTGATATTCAATTGATCGTAGCAGGCCGCCGTCTCCAAGGCCATGCACACGCGGAGGTGCTCCTCCACCCCAGGCTCTGAGCCGCTGAGGCGGGCCTCCGCCTTCCAACGGTTGCGCCTGGCTACTGGCGACCCGCCGTTGGCCACGATGAACTTGCTGACCCAGAGGAGGGTACGCGGCCCGCGCACGGGCCAATCCGCGAACGGCGCGACCGTGAAGGTGGTGACGGCAGCCCTGAACTCGCGATATCGCACCCCCTGAGAGTCGACCGCGATGGCCTGCACACGCAAGTCGAAGACGGGGGCTCCAGCACCGCCACCGCGACCTGGCGCCGCGCCCGCCGCCACCGGGGGGCCTCATCCTGGGGCCGCCACGGGGGGTGCGGCCGCCAGAGCTGCTCCTGCCGCCGCTCCTGCTCCTGCAGCCCCTCCAGCGGGGCCAGCGGCGGCAGCGCCAGCGGCGGCGCCGCCCACCAGGGCCCCAGCAGGTGCGGCCGCTGCGGCCGGCACGGGTGGGCCCGCGGCTGCAGGGGGCACCAGGGCGCCCGCTGGGGCGCCAGCCGCAGCAGGCCCCCCCAGGGCGGCGGCCAGGGCGGCAAGGCCTCCTCCGTCGGGCGCAGCCGCGCCCCCGGGCGGCGGGCCCGGCTTGAAGACCACGACTCTCTCGTGCCACAGAACTGGTCCGGGGATGTTGTATCTGACAACGAAGAAGTCGCCCTCGTCGAGGCCACCCGCCTGCACGGGCGTGCCGGGCCCCACCGAGAGTGGCCGCCCAACCGTGTTCAGCGCGAAGGGCTCGGCCGGCAAAGCGAAGCCCAGCCGCGCGGCCCCCGCGGCCCTCGCACCCACCAGCCGAGCCGGCAGGGGCAGAGCGCGAAAGCGGTAGACCGGGGCCGGGACGGCCACGCCGCCGACCAGCGGCGGCACACCGCCCTGCATGCCCTGGGGCAGCCGCACCGCCTCAATGATGTCGGCCGCCACCGCGGTGTCCTCGTCGTAGTCATCGTCGTCTGGAGTCAGGATGGTGTACACTCCTGGGCCAGGCGCGGCAACACCTCAATCGCCTCCGTAGTCACCAATCGAGCGGGGTGAGGCGCGCTACGGGCCGCGAAGGCCCACGCAAGGGGTAGCCGTCCGATCACGAAGACGATGCTGACGAAGAGGATGCACCACAGCAACGAGCCCAGCCAGGATGCGCCGCTCGCCTCCTGCTTGATCACGTCGCCGCAGCTGACGGTGGGGCAGCTCGGGCAATCACAATTGACCACGGGCCGACAATCAGGGCACGGGACACGGTTGGCCCAGGAGAGGATGGCCGCCGAAGCGGAAGTGATCAGGGAATTAGCGGCCCCTTCGAAGAGCGCCTTGGCCCCGCCCAAGACGGGCATTGGGGAAAGAGCTTGAACCAGAAACCGAATTACGGCACACTCGTCAGCTGGCTATTGCTTCTACTTTGAAAAGAGGACATACATACACGTAGATATAAATATATATTTTCAGCACGGCGTGCACAGCAGCGGGGAACTTGAGACTCGACTGTGTCCCCACTCCGAGCAGGAGGAGGGGAGGAAGGGTTGATGAGGTAGCGGGGGTGAGAAGGGAGGAGGAGGGAGGAGGAGAGAGGAGGGGGAGGAGAGGGGTGGAGGAGAGAAGAGGACGGAGGAGGGAGCGCGAGGGGGAGCGGCCGCGGCCGCACCTGACGGCCGGCAGCAGCACCAGGTTGAAGAACCTCTGCGCCATCTTCGGGTTGAAG